GGGGGTACAGCGAAACAAGACTATGTCTGCTCAAATGGGCATCCATATTACTACTGCTGTGTTGTCCGCTATATAATTGTTCACTGTTCTGAATTTCGCCTACTTTGTTCCTTTATAGACAGTAGATAAGCTTCTTGTTTCGACTGTTGATCCAGAATGAACTTATTGTTGGGGAGGCCATGATGACCAGGAAGAGAAGCTGCTGAAATTGGTGTTAGACAACTGAGCTTGGAAGAGATTGTGGTGTATAATCCAATCATAGTTTTTGTTTCACTTTGCAAAGAGTGACCGGATCTTTAATTAAAAATGAAGTCCTCATAATTTGGTGTTTCTTTTTAGCCCACTTTGTCTTGTTTAGAGATGCTGTACCGGCTTACCTGAGTATGATGTAAAGTTTCTTTCTTCAGGCGGTTTTATCTGTTGCAGCCTGCCAATGTCCAACCTTGCAGTGAACTCTGTTGTGTGATTGCGGTTGGACTCCTTTTTCTATCCCTTTTTTTTTTAAGACATTAAAGTTCAACTATGCTGAGAAAAGGGTGCTTCATTCTTTTTCTCACGGGGCTATGCCCTCTCAACATGCGCTGTACTCGTGCCCAAGCAATTTTCAATGTACACAGCTCTGCCATGTGCGGCTCAACCAGGTAAGCAAACGAATTCATTTCTTGTGAAACCATGGCAAACAAGAAGATCGGAATCAGCAGCATGAGCACCTCAACACTGTTAAAAGAGCGTAGCTATAATCGTTTACGAAAATGAATGAGCATAACTGGCATCCGGAGATTATACACGATGCTATAGGAGGAGCTTTGATTTTCTAACATAATCATATACCCCCTAACATCAAAGGCTCAAAGCAAAGGAGAAGGACAAGCTTTATAAGCTAATCGCCATACAATGATTCGAAGCAAACCTAACTTACATAAAATTAAGATGATTTGGCACTAAGAGCAATGAACAAAAGAGGAGTTCAAAGCAAAATGTTTGAAATAACAAAGAAAAACAACATAAAACCATCAATCTTAAGTCCTAGAGTTTAAACTAATTAACATAAATGAGTTGTGTTTAGCATCCAAAGCACAATGTCAACTGGTTAATACATTGTTGATGTTTCTTCTTTGTGCTGTCAGGAAACTTCTATGTAGATATGAACAAAGGCATAAAATTTCAAAGATAAATATCTCTAGACTTATTCTCCATGCTTAAGCCGAGCAACATCCAACTTTCTTCACAGCAGATACATCATCTTTTGATCCAACATTGATCGTCTGGCCTTTGGGCAAAGCTGCTGGGTCATCCCCAATATCTAGAGCTTTCCTGCTTACAACACGATAAATCTGGGTCAGAACTTCTGTGAAGGCATTCTCAACATTCAGAGACTCCAATGCAGAAGTTTCCATGAAGAAGGTGTTCTCTCGTTCAGCAAAAGATTTCGCATCTTCAGTGGCAACTGCCCGCAAGTGACGCAGGTCTGCCTTGTTCCCAACTAGCATAATCACAATGTTGGCATCAGTGTGATCACGAAGTTCCTTCAGCCACCTTTCTACATTTTCAAATGTAACATGACGCGTGACGTCATAGACTAGTAAAGCTCCAACAGCACCACGGTAGTATGCACTGGTTATTGCACGATATCTTTGGCAAAAGACAGTATAAAGAGAAATTAGATAACATTCCTAGAGCTTCATGAATCATGATTTGCACCAAATTCAGAAAAAAAAAATGTCAAGATTTCTGTAAACGGTGATCCATAAACGAAAACCAGCCGTAAAAATGCTTTATTTTCTGCCTTCTTTTAAAGACTTTCTTTGGTAAGCCATAAATAATACTTTAAAAGTAACTCCCCAACAGTTATTTAGTATAGTTTCAAAAGCAAAGGCAGGTGAATAAAGCACGGTGATGGAAAATTAGGAATCAAAGAAATTTATATTTATAGGTCAAAGCAAGGAACTCATGAAGAAACTATTCCCTTCATTGTGAAAAGGAGAAAAAGGAAAAAGGTCCTGATCCAATTAATGCTAACCCATAATGTACATTGCAGAAGCATGTCTGAGAAGTTAAATGAAGTAAAAAGATGTGATATCCCATTTGGAACCTATAAGTAGCTAGAAGAAACAGAAGCAATCTTCTTAAGACTGCCTTCTTTTAAAATTTTCTTGTCTTCTATGTTAATAAAAGGAAACCAAATGGGAAATATTTAGGTCTAAAATGGCATTTTCTCCTTTATTCAACTAACTAAAATCATAGCATCCGAGCATTTGGCTTATTGGTTGGTGCATGATTCCCTTACCTTAAGAGCAAGGTTCAAATCCCCCTTCCTCCAATTTAAAAAACAAACAAACTAGAATCATATTATTTTTAGCCAAAATAATGATCATAAAGCCATATCTTAGTATATGGAACTCTATAACAATATTACACTAGCTAACTCTGTAAATTTGAATAAGAATTCCCAGATCAACATCCATTTCAAAGAACAAAAATAAAGTGCTAGGGGTATGTATGTACTCCATTCCCAAGTACTAGGTCCCAAGGGTTAGTCAATTGGTTGCCTGGCTTATTACCCTAGTCATAGACCAAATCTTTTACAGACTAAAATTTGATTTAAGTACTTTATAAATATATCACTACAATGTTTTTATGCCTAATTCCAATTGTCATCAACTAATTCCTGGTTTTATAACTTAATATCTCTTCCATCCTTCTTATCCTCATTAGCAGTAATAGTTAGTCTTATGAAAGAAATACTATGCTTTCTAAACTGGATAAACAACAAACAGTCAACAAAAGGAAAGAGAATAAAAGAAGAAAAGAAAAGATTCTTGGATGGTCATGTAAAGCAATATGCACTATAGACAAGCACTAATATGAGAACAAAGGCCACATTAACATAAAATATAAATTCCAAATTCGCAATGTTTCACTCCAGCAATCAAACAAAGAATTGGCAATCAATACAAAAAAAACAAAGCAGGTAACCGCATTACAACAGAAGGTCCAGTTTCCTATTGAGGATGACGTAGATATTATAATCCACCAGCTCCAGCAAAAATAACAGGCTAGCCTTACTCTATTCCAGAGGAAAACAAAAGATCTAATATTCAATACAATGACAAAAATGAACATTAGCAAGTAATTTGCTTTAACAAGACAATCTGTTGCTTCCAATTGAATTACCATATGTACTGCATTACCCAAAAAAGTTATACAATTCATTCATTTTGCAGAACGCAAATCTCAAAACATCTCATTTTGCAAGATCCCAACTTTCAGATGACACCAACAAAGGAACCAAATCCACGAATTAAGCAAAAACAAACCGTAAATCGAAAAACCCAGATCAAGATCTGCACTCAAGAAAAAGAATGGCCAAACCCAAATACCTTTCTTGTCCAGCAGTATCCCAAATCTGAGCTTTAACAACCTTATCATCAACATGAATGCTACGGGTGGCAAACTCAACCCCAATAGTAGACTTAGATTCAAGGCTAAACTCGTTTCTTGTAAATCTAGACAAAAGGTTGGATTTTCCAACACCGGAGTCACCAATCAGGACAACCTTAAACAAGTAATCGTAGTCATCATCCGCCCTGTAAGCTCCCATTTCTCTCTTATGTTCTTTTTTGGTTTTCCCTCTTCTTGTTCTTTTTCTTTGTCGTCCGATGTTTTTTTCGATTGGCGTCAAAATATTTAAAAAGAATAATGAGAAAACACGAAAAAGAAACGCGTTTTTTTTTTCTTGCTATTGGGTAAGTTAAGGTAACATTTTTCCTTTTTTTTAAAAAAAAAATTCTGGGTTTGGGAAAGTCTGGAGGAAAATGGAAAAGAAAAGAACACAGCTGAAAGCTGGAAGTCTTTAGTTGGCAAATGGCTATGATTATGATGGCTGGTGGTGGGTTAACCAAAATTAACCTCTTTTCACGAGATTTTGGTGAAAAGTTTCTGGCCATGGCCTAATTTTGTTTTTTAACCCCAACTTTTTTTATTTTTTACAATCGTTATATTCTCCTTTTTACCTTTTTGTTTTCATCCGACAAATTAGATCGGTTACTTTTTAATATAATATTTTAAAAAAATTTAAATTATTTAAAAAAATTTAAATAAATTATTATTTTTATTCTACATTCAATTAAATATTTTTATTTGTATTTTAAATAAAATAAATTTTTATAATAAAAAATAATTAATTATTATTAATCAAAAAATAACTTATTATTTTTTATTCGAACTTGATATTGATTTAGAAAGTGAAAATATTACGTATCATCATTACTAATTAAATATATCAATATGACACATCATCACTATATAATATAAAAAATTATAAATAATATTTTTACTAATAGTAATTAATCAATCGTTAATTATAAAAATTTATTTCATTCAAAATAAAAATGTAAGTATTTAATTGAATGTAATAAAAATTAATAATTTATTTGAAATTTATTAATTAATTTTAAATTTATTTTGTAAGTATTATGTTTTTTTCTTTAACATGTGAAACTTGGAATTGATTTCTTTTAATATATTTTGAAAGATGTGGACATTATTAAACTACATGTTGATTCTTGTTTTTTGTTTTTACACAGATGTATGAAATGTCAATATGAGGACACAAAATTTGATTAGATCAAAGTGTATGATTTTGACCACTTAAATTTGAATTAAATTGGAATATTAATTCATGATTACAATTCATGTCTTTCTCTATCAAACAAGCAATACATTTCTTTATCAAATACTCTTTCTTCATCTTATTATATGATGTAATGCTTTGAAAATTCTGAAACAGAGGAATTAATATTTGCTGTTCTTTTCTGGGTAGTTAAGGTTCATATAGAATTGTTAATTGTGGGACTATAGGAACATTGTCATGTACCATTTCAAAGGATACAAAAAAAAGAAAAAAGAAAAAATGTAAAACAAAATTATTGATTTTCTTACTATTTTGGTTTAGATATTTTGTTGTTACAACTAACAGTCTTTGCCTGAAATCATGAAAGAGTAAGGAATGGGCAAAAAGGGAAAAGAAACAAATTAAGATCCAACTTTAGTGGAATGATAATCAATTAAATCATCAATTATACTTAGGAAGCATATCTGAAGTGAATGATTGGCATCAACAGCATAGCTAATAATGTCGTTGTAATGAATTATCATGGATTATGCATAAGTTGTTTAATGTCTAATGAGCAATTTAGATAAAAAATGGTAAAATAATTCAAGAGATAATGAAGCAGGGATCATGTAGATAGTAACAATCTTAGATAACTGATTAGTAATAATCTATAATAGGATGAGATGGATACATAGAAGCTAAAACAAAGCCAATAACTAATTATATAAAGAATGAGAGGTTATAGCGTAAAGGAAACAACATCATGATTATCTTGAAAAATTCAAGAAAGGGTTTGAATTCAAGTAATTTCGAAGAAGGAACAGAAAGAGGAAGTACCGACAAAGAAGATTGGACTGGTGAGTAGTGTGTTGCCCAAGGGAATCGTTGTTCAGCCCATTGGCCACCTGCTGGAGAAGTCCAACTGGACAAAGACAAGGAACCAGAGAATTAATGGACTCAGAGCCCAACAGAACGTTCGACAGGATGAGTTGGATGAAATTTTCTTCTTTAACTTATAAATAAAAAGAGATTAATAAATCCGTAAATTAACTTTGTAGCAAAGACTTTTGCATCATCTTGAAGAGTTGAACAGAGAAAAAGTTGTGTTGGTGATTGGAAAAATGCAATCTAATCTTTGTCTTGTGATGCAAATGGATTGTGCCCCAATGATACGAGCTTTTTCATGGCGGATGGAGCCTGCCGATCTTCCTTGTTTGCACTTTGCATTATACTTTGGACAGAAGTGCCTCTGCAACAAAAGAGCAGAACAATCCAATCAAAGCCACTGTTGGCACACCTAATCCCCACGTGTGGGCATGTATAGAAAAACCTGACCACTCTGCCTACGCCACGTGTTCTGTTAAATGTACAGGTCTCCCATATCTCAGCCTCTGGACCCTGCCACGGCCAGCCATTGCCTTTTTCTCCATCCACTTTGGAATCCAAGTTTGATGTTTCTAAAAGGGTTGGAGTGGTCATGATTATCATTGGTGATGGTTCATGCAAAAAGCACAGTAAATCTTTGCGAAATGTGACGTAGTGTGGAAGCAGCTAGCAAAAGCAGAGGAATTTCTTTTCTTTTTCGACATATCCGACTCGCTTTGTCAAATCGAAAAGTGTGAGGCCTGAGGCCTGAGAGAGGGTTAACACTGTTCTCACCAGAGTGCACGTCAAAAATCTGCGCCACTCAACGCCAAGGTTGATTCCCGCTCCTTTACCCCACTCATCAGATCATATAGCACAATGCTGCCAATGCCAAAAACAACAGGCAAATATTTACAGACCGACCAAACCCTTTTTTTGGGGAGGGGTCAGGGTTTTCACATTCATGTTAGAAAATGGTTCGAAACATTAAGTACTTTGGTCTTCAGTCGCTCTAACATGCGCAGATGGCCTTGGAATAGGTTGTTTGATGTTGGGTGAATCCTAAGTAAAACCCTATTTTTGAATTACAAACGGACAAAGTTCAAATTCTGTGTAATATTTATCGTGTACAACAAGTAAGACAAATTTAGAGTCCTACAGGAGATTCATGATCAGTTTCCATGATTCTCTCTGTCTATATATCGTCCCTTTAGAACATCTTTTTCAAATTAAAATCAAACTCGTCTTTGCCAAATTAATAAGCTTGCAAATGGGTAATTAGTCATTTCAAATTTTGAAATGGTAATAATATAGAACTGATGAGTCTTCTATGCATGAAGAAGTACAGCTGCCCTGCAATGACATGCTTGTCAACAGTAGGTTCTCAAGTTTTTTACTGTTTTTTTTTTTGCTTGCTGAACGTTACAGCAATTGAGGAAGTCAAAGTGGCTACCAAATTTGTTCATGGAGGAGGTAATTACCCGATGTTGATTGGATAGTTACATACTTTAATTGCTCAGAGATGAGATATAACCTCCAAGAAAAACAATTAAGAGGTTCCAATCAAGAATTTGGTTGCTGTGACCTGACTATGATATGTATTAAATTTTTGGGTACACAATCTGACTCTTTAATTTCACAATTGCACAGAAAAGGTAAAACCCAAATCGATTCATTTTAGCTTGGAACAGTACTCTAAACCCTAAATATAGGAAAATCTGCAATTCCTTGAGCTACTAAATGGCTGCAATTTCCGAGTGGCCAATATATAATACTATGGAAAAATAAGTTTTAGTTCTACTTTCTTGAAGAAAAATGAGCAAGTAAAACGAAAAACTGCCTGAATTTATGGGAGAATGACTTCACCATAGTTGAACATGATCATGAAATTATAAGTTGTAGTGTAGGTAATAACTTGTATGGTTATTTCCATGCATATTAAGAGCAAAATTACTATCATATTTCATACATAAATTGCCTTATAGCAAGATATTAGAGAATACACTGGTGCACAAAGCTTTCATACTATTCCAGATACAACCATAATATATAGAGCCCTAAGGACTATACCTAAAGCTAAGTTTCAACCTCGAGAGAGAGAAACGAGGGAGAGAGAGAAGAAAAGGACAGTGTCAGCCTATGTCATCCAGTTCCACATTTCTAAACCTGCAAATCAAGAAAAACACAGTAATCAACAAACTTAATTGGAGAAGCAAAAAGCTTCCAGCGTTTACACGAGAAAAAGCCGCTTATCTTCAATTCTTAGAAATAACAAGCTGTCATGCACATTGCTATCTTATGTAAGAAAAAAAATTATACATAATGGCATTGCAGAGAGATGATGTATTACTACTTGTATATTTGATGAAAGTAAACAAATTTAAGAAAGGGTTTACAAAGCTTGTCACCTTCATTATACGGCGAAGGGGATTGATGAGCGCACCAGATAGTAAAATCCACCATGTTGAAGAGGCTGCAACGTTACACCCCACTCGCTTGTGAGAACAGGTTGACCGGAGGACTGGATCAAGACAGCATCATCACCGAAAGCCTCCCGCACGTTGAAGGGCCCAGCGGCCACCTCAAAGGCCACATCATTGATAAACACCGTCGATCTAGCCGCACCGCCGGGGCCCACTACACCCAATTCCCCTACACCTGCCAACAGAGAATCACTCCACGTACATATATAAAACCAACGCAGTAGTCAATTTCAGAGAGAACAAGCCATGCACACGTCCATCTAGAGACAATGATGATCGCAAATCCTGGTTCTAAATGACCATTTTATCCTCATTCCTTACCACATACAACCAAAAAATATTCTCCCCTCGTGTGCAAAAGCTTTTGGTACATCAATTAGTCCATGAAATATTGGCGTAAATTATGGTAGACTGGTAGGACAAAACTTATATTAACATCCCTAATTGTGAAAGAACAAAGAAAATTAGAAATTTTTACCTTGAACGTGGTTGATATTAGATGGAACAGTTATAGTAGCAGTGGTGGAAGCAGTGAGAGGAGAAATTGTGTGAGTACTAGGAGCAGTGAAACCAGTGTAGTTAAGCTGGAGCTGCATCTTCATCTTTTCTTCATGTGCTTTCTTTGATGCACCATTGTGCAATATCTCACTCAACAAAAGACTTGTACAGGGTCCAACTGGTTGTTCAGGAACTTGAACCATATTATTTAGCTCAAAGAAGCCAAACCCTTGCGTAAATCCGTTTCCTGCAGCAGCCTGTTGCACAGGAAAGAAAAAGGGTTCGTTCAAGAACTCGTTTTGGGGCTGATGAAAGTAGGCCTGGTTCACAGAAGCAGTTGGAGAGTTGGAAACATCGATGACATTTGGAGAACTCATGGAGAGAGTACTCTTATTAGCTCCTTTTGGTGAAGATTTCTCTGAAGAGGATGAGGAAGAAGAAGGTGCAGTGATGGTGGTAATATTTGTCATTGGACGAGTTTGCTGGGTTTGTTGGTTTTGCTGGGATTGTTGTTTAGAATTTTGGAGGTTGCGCAGCTTGTGTTTGCTTCTCGATTTTCTGTTCTGGAACCAGTAGAACACATTGGCATCACCTACTTGGCCATACTCCTGCAATTGAGCTCTGATTTTCCTTATCTCATCCCTTGGTGGGTTAACCATTCCGGAGTTGAATATGGCTTCCAGTATGCGAATTTGTTCAGGTTTTGGGTTCCATCTTGGTTTAGGTTCAGGACTACGCTCTTCACATCCTGTAACGTTTGCAGTCGATGTTAGCATAAAATTGTGAGCAATTCAAACAACAGATTATAATTATTCATCTCTCTCTTTGGGTCACGTCATTCAACATAAATAATCAAGTACTATAAAAGATTATCAGTTGAAAAGAGCAAATTAATGAGATAACTGACGACTTATTATGTAGGCAATAATAAATCCGAGATGCCTGAAGTAGGAAGGATTTCAGGTGAGCTAGACGGCTTTAGCTGGCCCTTTTTCATGCTTGAAAATGGTTGAAGCAACTAATTAAGTGTAAAAGAGAACACGAACTGAATAAACCTTGGTTGGTTCTCATTGCAGCTGCGAATTGTGTCAATTACCTGAGGAGTATGGGGCTCTGTGGCAACCACTTGACATGAGAGAGGGATTGATGTCAGGCTGCCATTGGTGGTGGGTGTTGCAGGGCTTGGATTTGAACATGCTAGGCCAGTGTCTGTTTGACGAAGCCATGATGATGATGATGATGATGAAGATGTTGATGATAGTGGCCTAAATCTAAGCTAGATATCTAATCAAAAGTAGCCAACCAGCAGAGAAACAAGAAATAGAATTGCCCTTTTGTTTCTCTAGTTTTTGGTACTGCTTTGTTCCAGGCAAACATAACATCTCTTCTTATAGCCTCCTCACCTACCCTGTGATAATTTTTCTCTCAATTAAATAAACAGTCATTCCCATCTCCCAAAGAAAATATAAAATTCATTCATTTTTTTT